AATGAGGGCTATTCATGATTAAATACTTTTAAATAAATAAGAAAAATCACAGGTTCAATTGTTGTATTTGGTTATGCTCTCTCCCATAACAAGCCACTTTGCTTCATTTGAGAAGCCAGTATTCTGTAGTCATTGTTAATGATGTATATATTTGGTCATTCTGTGATAAGGAAGAGGCACAGACAGTAATTATGAGTTGACGCAAGGGAGTAAGTCTCAAAGTTAAGAGTATTATTATTTTTTAATACTATGGCCAATTTTTAGCCTGTCATCCATTTTGGACTATTGCATAAACCACCTGAAGTTGTATTTTGATTATGAAAAATGTTACACTGAATTGCCATGTGAATATAGAAATCTGCCAGTTCAGTTTTCCTTTAGATTTTTACCTCTTTTTTTCCCCTACAGCCTTAAAATGCACATATAGATAAGAGCAATAATAATAACTAGCTCTTATTAGATAGAGTTGCTGAGTAAGGTAAGGTTGTGCCTTTTAAATGTTTTATTAAGCACTACTACTTGGAGGAGGTATAAGTTTCTTATTTCTTAGCAACAAATTTCCACAGTAAATAGTGTCTTCATATCCAGAGTCACAAAATGATTATTCTAAAACCAAGTAATTTTTTTTATTTAAATAGCTGCTGTGTAAGTAAAGGTCATATAGCAGAGTGGCATTTTGCCAGTATATGACAACTCATTGATTGCGATTTTTCAACCATATTATTCTGGGAACACTGTGGTAATCGAAAACTACCCAGAACTAATGTATAAATAACTGCCTGCTACCCTTGCTAATCCTGTGTAAGTGCCAAACTAGTATCCATTTTAGGAGAGGTGGCAAATCCTTTTGTTTGCATTCCAAGACAGCTTGAGTGTTTTTAAACTGTCACATGTTTTATTGCTTCCCTATGCCCAGAAATGTAATGCATCTTACTGTTTCTTTACAAAAATAATATTAATATAAAATACAAATATTTACATGCAATATTTTAATAAGACAGAAAGTGTGGAATGGTTGCACTGCACAGAGTATACATTTTTCTCCAGAAAATTACAGGATTAGTAAAATATATAATAAAGAATACAATTTTCAGCCCATCTGGAGAAAACCTACTGTGGTGCTGTCTGGTTGCATGCGTTAGGGCCACTGGCATTACCTTTTATTTTTTAGAAGTTCCATTACATTTTGTTTATTGTTTGTATTTTTAAATGTACATTATCTGTAAAAATAAAGGAAAGCAGGTATATTAGGCATGGGAGAAAGGATTGTTTCAAAAAACTTAAGAAATGTTACTAATATAAATTTGCAAGACAAGGGGACTAGAGAGTTGGAAGTTAAAACTACATGATACTGCCTGGAAAACATGGAATAACCAAGATTTCTGATGGAAACACTCAGAATTGAGATTTACAAACGAAATGGGAAATCGTTCAAATGACCGAGAGATTATTTCCACAGTAAATAGAGGCATTATAAAGAAAATTAAAGATGGTGCACAGATAATAGTTATACAGCTGTGTGTGTATATGTAACTAACACACACCTGGTTTTGACGTGTATAACAGTCAAATTAGCAATAGGTATTTGTTTCTGGCTCTGATATGTGTATAAAATCAGAATCAGAAAAGCCATTGTAAATTTCGTAAAAATATTAAGGAATATTAGGAAAATATTTAGCAGCCATGTCTCACTGATTCTCAATACATTTTTATTTTGTTTTTTAAGAAAAAAGTTTCATATTTCCTCTCTACCACATTCTGTGCTTTCTTCAAGTCTACTGTTAAATTGCTGTTATAGAAAATCTACTTTATATATAGTTTTTATCATGGACTATGCTTTGAAGTTTGTGAATAAGATGGGCAAAGATCAAAACAGAAGACAGCAAGCCATTGTAAAAATAGAAGCATTAAAGCAATCTGTTATGCTCCTTGTTTACATCTCATCTGACATTAGGCTACTGAGGATTATTACTTGTAACAATTATATTTTGATTAGGATTCAGACATGTACAAAAATAGCAACATAATTTTAAGTTCACTTCTGTATTAAAGCAAAGTAACTGCTGAATTACTTTCCAAAACATTATGTAGGTTTCAAATGTTACAAAACACATTCTATACCCTACATGCAGAATTTCAGTCTGCTGTGTTTGGGTTTGTTTTATAGTAATACTTGTTATGACAGTTAAGAACATGTTAGTCTCCAAAACTTCTAACCTTAAGAGAAGAACGGGAGAGAGAAAACTGTTACTGGCTTTCTGACAATGGCAGGGAGTGTGTTAAACCAGTGTAAAATTCAATTAAACTGTCTAGCCAGGTTTTTGAAGCTGAAATGCAGGCCCTTTCAGTTAAGCTTCTTATTTTCCTGTGACCGACACCGGTGGATACTGTGTTATGCCAAAACCAACAGGCTGTAAAGCACCTTGTTTCATGCTCCCAGCTGATCAATATTTTTATTTTCCAGGCTTGCCCAGAAATATGGAGGCAGTATCACCTAACAGTAAGTAGAAACACCTTTTTTATTTTCTTGTACACCCAACCTATTTACTCTTCTGTGAACTGCTGACCATAAAATATAGACAAGCATCTTCTTCAGGAAGATAATAAACATCTGAAGAGTTTTTGAACTGGAGAATGCAATAATACACTGTCCCTTTTTATACATTCTTAGAAGTTCTGATTGTATTACTAGCATAATTTAATGACTGCATTCTATCACTTTCCTCTCCATAACTGCATTTACTGTATACATTACAAAAAGAAAGTTTAATTTTATACTGGGGTATAACAGTATTCCTGTCTCATTGTTTCCCGGATTTGGTTGTCAAATCCCCATATATTACAAGGCAGTTTCTTTAACTTTGATTTAAAGAACCTTACCTAGAGAATGGAATGTGAATTTTAGAAATAAACTTTAAAATCTTTGTACATGATTCTTAAAGAAGAAATCAACTGCCACTTCTTCTTTGGCACCTGGTTAGTTGGTCTTTAGTTATAAAAATAACTACTGCACACTACAAATAAATCATTCAGTTTTTAATTTTTTTTCTTGTATGCAAAACGCAGGGAAAATTTAAACAAACTGCACCTACATTAACTAATGTGCAGTCTGAAAACAAGATTTAACTTGTTTAGAATAATGTCTAATTGATCTACACTACAAACCTTAAATACAAAATAAATATATATACACACACACACACACACACACACACACACACACATTTATGTATAAAAAATTAGGCCTTGCCTATGACTTCTTTTCAACATAAGGAAAATGTGTGTTTAACTGGAATAACTTTATAACCACTGTCATCCTTGTACGATTAAACAAAGCAGAAAAGTTTGTCCAGTACTTTTTGTTGTGCTGTGGTTTTGAGGTTTTTCTTTCAAATAAGGGAATACTGCTATAGGATGTCCTTTAAAATCTGTTCCTTGTGCCTTTTCAACATGTTGGAACTTTCTCTTTTCTGTTTTAGCAGCTAAATTTAATAGTAAAGGATACACTCTGTTGAAAATCTCTCCTGTGCTTAGGGTTTTTTTTTTTAAACATTCACTTTGGAAATCTCCATTTCTATATGCATATTTTCTTTGCTCTTAAATTACCAGATTAAAGAAGATGTAATAAGAATAGGTTTAGTTGCATTCACTTTATATGGTTGTTTGCTTTATTTATTTAAAGATACTCAAAAGAAAAGATTCAATCCTTTATAATTCTTTATGCTCCAGAAAAGGAAGTGTTTAAATGGTTTGTTAGATCCCTTATGGAACTTGGAATCTAAGAATCACATAGATGTATTTATGCAATAATGTGATGGTGAATTAGGTTTCAGCTAATATGTCAAAACATATTTTGTTGTTCGGGCCTGTTTTGGACATTGAACAATTACTCAGAAAAGAGTTATAATCAACACTACAAAAAATTCTTACTTTTTAAAAGGCTAAAAACAGATTCTTCCTGGCAATCATTGACAAGCAATCTGAGCTGTTTCATCTTGAAGAATTGTAGCCAATTAATTTTCAGGGAAAGTATTTTGACTTTATACTTTCAATGGTGTGAAATTAACAATATCCACCAACAGAAGATCTACTTCGAAATGTTTGGAGCTATGCATGGAAATGTCATATTTGAAAAATTAATTAATTTGGAAAAAATAGTGCTTTGGGGTACGCTGTGCTTGTGAGAGAATATTTTGAAATGTGATCAAATATACATACATATAAATATTTCCGATTTCATTACTAAATATGTAGTCCCTGCCTTGTTTCTTATAAATGCCTTTGCTATTTAGTACTATAAATTATCCAGGTTTTTAATTTATGATGATATTTTGTATTTACATAGCATCTTTCATGTGAAGATCAATTTTGACAACTACATTAATTGAAGCATAATCAGATTATACTTTTTTTAAAACTTCAGTTGACAACAGACATCGTAGACGTTTAAAATAGAGGCTATAGTTCAAGAGAATCTATATTATTTAAACTACTTAAACATGTCAGGGTCAACTTTTGTTTTTTCACTTAAGAATTCTCTCTAGATCTAAACTGCAACAGAAGCAAATAATATCCACAGATGATGCTGAAACTGTCGTGTTAGAATAGACTTGTTGTCTATTTCTTTTACATAAGTATGACTAAAAGGTAGAAGTTGTTTGCTCTCATATAGGCATTCTACTGTTTGACTGCAGTCATCAATTTACAATTCCATCATAGTTTGTTATAAATACAGATTTCTAAACAAATAATGCAAGAGAAGAAAAAGACTTGCATTTATTATTTTTGGAGAATATGCACATATCTTTGCAGGTATATGTACTAATGTTAGCTTCAGGTTTTTTCACACCTTAACAATATATATATATAGCGCAAATTAACAACTGGTTTCAAACTGAATTTGGGAAAATTGTAAACTGATAATGTGCATAACATATATAGACATCAACCCAAGCAGAGCAACGATTATATTTTATACAAATATGTGTCATGTTTATGAACTTTTAAAATCACTTCTATCATACCGCTTTGCCAAAGGTCCATATAAAAATTGTGTTTAAATGCACATACATTCTTAAAATATTCTTAATTAATCACTCTGAAAGCTTGTTAAAAACAACAGAACTCAATTCTTGTCTCTTTGTGACGCTTTTGATGATTTTATTCATTATATGTCTCTTTTCTAAGAGGTGGACTGCCATCTATTGACTCATAGTAGCTCTTGCACTTCAGTGTAGCTTGAGTAGGAACAATGAGGACATAACAATTCCATTGCTACTGTTATGGTTGGTGTTAGGTTTTAGTTTAAACTATTACAGTTGGGAAATTTTGAAACACTAAAAAAAACTTTGTAATATTGTCATAAATGTCTTGCTGGCAGCTTCTTTTTGTTAGAATTTCAAAAATGTTAAGAGGCAGTTGAAATGGCAAAAAGAATTATGAGCGGAATATTTTAGTTTGTTCCTTGTCAGAAAAAACAGACAATTAAATCATATTAATGATGCTTAAATTTAAAGGCTCTGTGATAATCAAAGGTTTATAACTGGACAGGGTTAGGTTCTTGAAATTTCTTTCAACTATAACTAGAATTACTATTTAATGACCAGTTTTGATAATGATTTAAAATGTGATTAAATAGTTTTCATCGTGCCTATTCTATATATTTCTCCTTTTTTCAGAAAAAACAAAATAAAGTTGTCAACATATTTTATGGGTTTTTTCCTCTCATTGTTTCCTGCATGCAATAAATGATAGGCAGATACACAGTTCTACATTTAGCAAACTTGTTATTATGAACTCATAGTAGTAGGGTAATAATACAAGAAGTTGATTTTCAAAATCCAGTAAAAATAATATTACAATATTTTGGCCAGATATAAATAATGTTAGAATATGAAGAATCACAGTCCTACAAGAAAAGAATTTTTAAGGGCCCCTGAAACAAGTTGAGTCCTACAGTGCATTGTCCCTGAGCCTTAGGAAACCTACCTATAACGCTGACTGAAGAAATAGTATTGTCGTTTATGATTTTATTATGGTAGTAGCCATCGGCACCAATTAGGATTGGTGGCCTGGTTGTACAAGATGAGCTGCAAATACTCAGAAAGATGCAGTCTCTGATCCGAAGACCATACCATCACTATCATCTCTTTCATAGCAGGACTAGTAAAGAACACTTTCAGTCATAGCAATTCACTTTAAGAATAGCCTCTTTCTAAATTCTACCTTTCTGTTATTTTTCATTTCTGTTTATAAACTACTCACGACCCAAACTAGAATTGTATACGTGTTTGTAGAATATTTTGCTCTGGACAGATACAGACCTAGGAAAAATCCTTCCCACTTCAATTGCAAAAATAGTCCATACTGAAGTCAGTGGAACAAACAGGATTTATCTTCTAACTTATATTTTTGGATAATTTTGTCCAACTTTGTTGTTTGACCTAAAAATGCTCTGTATATTTAATCTGATCACCTTTCTTTTTTCCCTGTGGCAGTTCCCCTTTTAGGTAACTTTGCACTTCTTGGAGACCCACACACCTACAAATACACCAAACTGATTTGTACTCAATCTTGACTGTATAGACTGTATCCTTAGATTGTGAAGTGCTTGGGACCGAGACCAGGCCTTCTGGAGAGTCTGGAAAATTCCTTGAACGTAGTGAGCACTACCTTAAACAAATAATAATAGCAGATAGCCCTGTTATTATACAGCAATGTTACCCTCTTCAGAAGACAACTACTGCTGTGGAGTATTTCTGAAAAAAATGCCATCCCACTTTATATGTAACTACATGCGTGTGAATCCAGTTTACTTTCACTGTGGCAGAGAAAGGCAATCCAGTGGCTGGCAGTAGAAGCTAGACAAATTCAGACTGGAAATAATGCAAACATTTTTAATGTTGAGAGTAATTAACCATTGGAACAATTTACCAAGGGTCATGGTGGGTCTCCATCACTGACCATTTTAAAATCAAGATTGGATTTTTTTTTTTTTTTTTTTTAATCTTCTCCAGAAATTATTTTTGAGAAGTTCTCTGATCTGTGCTATATAGGTCAGCTTAGATGATCACAATGGTCCCTTTTGGCCTTGGAATCTGCAAATCTATGAATAGCTTAGTGCCGTGGCTCTCAACCTTTCCAGACTACTGTACCCCTGTCGGGAGTCTGATTTGTCTTGCGAACCCCGAGTTTCACCTCACTTAAAAATTACTTGCTTACGAAATCAGACATAAATATACAAAAGTGCCACAGCACGCTATTATTGAAAAATTGCTTACTTACTCATTTTTACCATATATTTATAAAATAAATCAACTGTAAATAAATATTGTACTTACATTTCAGTGTACAATATATAGAGCAGCAGAAACACGTCACTGTCTCTATGAAATTTTAGTTTGTACTGACTTCGCTAGTGCTTTATATGTAGCCTGTTGTAAAACTAGGCAAATATCTAGATGAGTTGATGTATCCCCTGGAAGACCTCTGCATACCCTT